CTTGGTTATATTAGGTCATCTCACCCTATACCGCGTCGTATCTATGTTAAACATCTGGGTATGATTCAGTACTGTATTTCACATTATTTTTCATTTGCAAAATACTTGATGTAACGGCTGATGCTATACACTGGAATAGAATCGTATAGTACCATATAACGTAGTCCATGATAGAACATGTTATGCTCCAATACAGCACGACTTAAGTTGGCATGGTACAGTAAACATTTTGATGTGATGTAACCTGAAAAGAAAAAGTATCTGACAACCAGATGCATGCTCTATGTGACACAATACAGTCTACGACCATCAGATATAGCGTGGCGAATGCCATTCGGAAAAAAGCAGTATTCTATCATGCTAGAGTACATTCTGTCTTATATTCTTATATCATTGTGTCGCACGAAATACTGCACATCTCCTAGATATTGTATGTTATATACTCTGAACCGTGTATGTGCCATAGTTTCTGCTATGTGATTTGAAATATATCGGTTTATAATTATACCATACTTCGTGGTATGGGGCATCTTATGCGTAATTTTGTTAGAACCGTGTATGTGCCATATTTTCTCTCATGTGTTTTGAAATATATGGGTTTATAATTATACCGTACTTCGCGGTATGGGGCATGACTGCGCACCCTTCGCACTGTATTGTATTGGGCGCAATACCGAAGATGCTGAAGTGTAGGGGTGGGGGAATGACCACGCGCCCATATATATATATATATATATATATATATATGTATATATACATATATATATATATGTATGTATGTATGTATGTATCTGCCTACGTCTTCATGTTACCTCCTCCTTCTTCGTTAATCGTTCATGGTGGTCTTCACTCTTGACATAACGGTTCTTCGGGCTCCGGGACGGGTCTTTCTAGAGCTCTGCAGCAGGATTAGGATCACCGAAACCTTGAATCCTAAATCCAAAACCGTAACGGCAAACATGGGACCGTCTTGACGACTAGAAAGGCGGTTGTGGGGAATGGTATACTATCATTACCATAAGGATGCCGAGAGAAAAGTGTTCATTGCTTCATCATTAGATCATTGGCTTACGACGAGCCTTTGAACTTGGAGTCAAGGCTAAGGCGGAACGCTCGGCGTTCGTTGGTAAGAAGCTTTGTCACGAAGTCATTTTGGGCTGAGGGTTTCTGGCTGCATCCTCCAAACAAACAAACAAACATTCCTACCAACAACTGTACCCTCTCAGAAAGGCTGCCACATGACAAACAAGAAACGAGCAGCCACCAGAGAAACCCAAAATAATCTCGCGGCGCTGCAACCGTGAAACCCTCAAACCAAAGACAAAAAACCCTAAAACCCTAAAAACCCTAAAACCCTTAAAACCCTAAACCCTCAAAACCCTTCAAGACAAAAATGATCTCCTGCGGCATGAGCTGGAAAGCGCCTGGGAGCCTGTCTGCGGCTTGGCTACGGCTTTGGACTTTCGGCTTTGGGGTTTGGGGTTTTGGGTTTAGGGTTCAAGCCTTGGGGTTTAGGGTTCAAGCCTTAGGGCTTAAGGGGTTTAGGGTTTAGGGTTCAAGCCTTAGGGTTTAAGGGGTTTAGGGTTCAGGGTTCAGGGTTTAGGTTCATCTTGTGGACGAATGGGGTTTGGGGTTTAGGTCTCAGGGTTCAGGGTCTAGGGCTCAGCTTGTGGACGAAGACCTACGGTTGATGATATAAATCCTGCATTACCCATAATGAGGAAGATACCATAGGTCCCATCGTTTAGGGTCCTTAAGGTGATGCAGGATTTATATCATCAACCGTAGGTCCTGAAGTTTGGGGCTTCTTCTGGCCTGGAGTGGCTTGCACAAATAGGAGTTTCCGAAAATAGGGGACTCCAAAATATAGTACACTCACTAGCAGGATCCTAAGGTCCTAATTATAAGGACCCGCAAACAAGGTAATTTTCGGAAACTCCCAAATCCCACAACCCCCCACATCTTTGCCTCTCTAGCCTGACAAACCCGAAGATCTAAGCTCGAACCCCTTTGGACCCCGTAACCCCTACGGCCCTAAACCCGCAGACAACTTAAATTAAACCTCTCTGCCCCGTAAAACCCATCACGACCCCCCCCCCCACCTTTTCTCAAGAATTCAACGAATCCAAAACCCGAAACCCTCAACCCTACACCCTAAACTTAAACACTAAACCCGAAACCAGGTTTAGGGTCCAAGCGAATTTGACGCGCGCGCGCGCCCAGGCTCAAGCATGTCCGCCGAAACCAAAGACCCTTTACCCTAAACCCTAAACCCCTATAAACCCCTAAGCCCCTAAAACCCTAAACCCGAAACCAAAGGCCCTTTGCCCGGAACCCCAAAACCCCAGAAGCAGTGCCTCGCCAGATGGGATCCCATCCCCAAAGAGCTCAGGTGGCCCGAGAGGGCCACGGAAAGCTTGGGGCTTCTCACTTCCTACGAACCCTAATATGGAGGTTTGGTAGGTTAAGGTAGAGGTATCATGGGGAACCAAAGGTTAACCTTTTTGGTGATACAGGGATTATATAGGGACTATACTACCCAAAAAAGGTTAAAGGTTCCCTACTCTACTACTAGGACTTTCTGGGGCTTCAAGGTACAGAAACCGACTCGGGCTTTGCCCTTCAGAGTTTATGGCTGCAGGGTTTCGAGTTTAAAGTTCCCTAAACCCGAAGCCGGAATCGCCGCGGTTCGGGAGTGCAAGGTCTCTAGGGTTGAGGATTTCGGGGTTTGGGGCCTCAAGGTCCGAGGCTTGGGCTTTACCAGCACGGCACAAAATACTCGAGTAATATGACCCTCAAACTGCGAGTAGTTAAGCAAAAGTCCGCATCAGGGCTGTGCGGGCTGTTGTGGTTCGGGCACAGGGAAGATCAAGCCTTGAACGTCGACCTTGGGGCTTGAAGCTTAAAGTTCAATAAACGGGCCTCAGACTTAGGCTTTAGGGTCGCATAGGGTAGGTTAGGGCCGGGTTTGGGAATATCATCATAACAGTGCAGGAATTACATTTGTGATTCGACCCCTATATTAGGGCTTACGGCTTGGGGGCTGAGGGGGGTCGGAGCTGATGATTTAAGCCTTGGGTTCTAGCGCCCTAAACCCTAAACCCTACAGAGTTCCTGGCAGCACTTGAGCCCTACTTCGGCGAGGAACATGGGGCCAAAATGGCAGAGCAGAGACCTTGCAGCTTGGACAAGGTCCAGAGCATAGAGCATCCCCAAGGGTTCCTATAAAGGGACCGCCTGTAAATCCGTTTAAGGTACCCTTAATGGGACCGTTCCTACGAGGGCTTGTGGGTTCGGGGCCTCCAAAACCCTACTGCAAGCCCTTAAGCCTCGCTCCGAACCCGGAATGCAATCCAAAGGCCTCCACCCCCCTAGGATACCCAGTAACCTAAGCATAAAAAGGCCTCTCTTTTTGGTATTGGGTAACTTTATAAGGTACAAAAAGGGAATAAGGGTACTCTGGGCCTCCTAGCCCAAATTGCCAAAACGGCAAAGGCCCCTAAACCCTAAACCCCTGTAGAAACCCATACAGCAACGCTTGAGGGACCCTAAACCCTAGACCCTGAACACCAGGAGGGCCAGCCAGCTGAGGTCCAGGCATATGCCAGATGCGAGATGGATGCCATTTTGGCGTCGATCACAATGTGGCCCGTGGCCAGTGAAGGGTTCTCTCGATTTTGAGGTCTCTGCTCTATCTCTCTATCCATCTGTCTATCTATCTTTACATACAAGCAGATATACGTACGTATAGGGGCCTGAGCCACTTTAACAAGGCTTTAGGTTGTATTGCAGAAAACACAATATGCAGACAGGGACACCGAGGGACATCATTTATTTGGCTGCGAGAGGCTTGCAGTGGTCATGAAGTGTACTTGGAGGTTCATGGGTAGTTATATGTGGGGTTATGCTTAGGGTAACGCTAGTTATAACCCTAACCCCACTTATAACTACCCATGAACCTCCATGTAGGGCTTAAGGGCTCTAGGGTTTTAGAGGGCTCGGGTACGGCAGAATAGCACCGTGGGGGTCGGGCAGTTGCACTTGAGGCCTAACGCGACGCTTGCAGCAGCTGAAAACGGCTTTTGCAGTAAGAAGTGTCTGACATGAAGCATCTTCTCCAGGGTTTAGGGCTTAGTATTTTAGGATTTTAGGGTTTAGGGTCTAGGATTTTAGGGTTTGAGGGTTTAGGGGTTGAGGGTTTAGGGTCCGCCGAAACGCGAATCCGATGTTCCCTCAAGCTTGAAGGTGGCGATGCCGAAGGTGAAGCATGGGTGCGTGGATGATAGAAGTCACGACGGGGCGAGACCGGGGGCGGAACAACAAAACCTACCGTAGGGGCCTTGAAAATTGGGGCATGGTTTGGGTATATATGATACTATAATCAAAACAGGAACCTGAAGGAATAATGTTGGAAATTATTCAAGACCCTTGTGGTGCTTGTAAATCTGCGCAGCTCTCAACTGCAACCACTCTGAGACTCTACGGGTCCTGGAACAGATTTGGAAGTTTCAGATATCGGGGGACCCCAAATATCTACCCTCAAGAGAAGGATTGTTCTCACAAGGATCCCTACATGAACTTCCCTAATTTTCCGAAACCCACCAACTCTGGTGACAATCATCGAGATCGGCCTCTGCCAAACACAAAGACTCGAGCAAATGGAAACTGAGCTTCTGGTCTTGACATGTGAAGCTTCGGCAACTGAACCACGGAGCGTGCTTCTGCGACCCGTCCGAATCGGAAGCAGCGTTGGGGGGGTTAGGGTGTTTCGAGCTTCGCGCGGGTGTCTAACGTTGAGGGCTTCGGGTGTCACTTCTCGGGTATTGGGTGTCGGAGACTTTCTTCCGTCACGTGCAGCCACGAACACAAAAACCTTGCAACCGGTACCCGTCCTGGAAACTAGATGTCAAAAACCCTTGCAGGAACCCATTTTAAAATAAAACATTAACGGAACTCCCATGAACAGCCTTAAAGGAACCTTTATGACCACGGCTCTTTTTTCACGGAGATGACTGGTTCGGAGTTTCTGTCGGCAGCTCAAGCTGGGGCGGCTCGTACAATTCCCAGTCTTTGGTCAAGTTCCATGCCTGCATGAATAATCGCGTTTTAGGGTTTAGGGTTTGGGGTTTAGTGCGCGGACGTCATGTTTTTGCCCGTAACTAGTCTTGCCGTTGTGACTATTTGTAGTTCTGCTAGGATGCTTCTCAATTGCGGTGTCCTTGGAATATTGCCACTGCTGTTTTCCTTGCGGTGGTCATGCGATAAATGACATATGATGCATCTGGAGGGAGTGTTGTGGATCAGAAGTGTCGGGTCTCAAGCTCGTGAAGGTGGTTCCAGGGTAATTTGGCAACCAAATCCTAAGCCCCAAGACTTATTACCTAAAAGCCGAGGCCATACACACTACAGGTAAAACTTTTGAGGCTCCAGACTTACAAGCCTCCCACAACCGAAAAAACTAGATGAACCTGAAAGCCCTATAGAATCCTCGCATCTGTTGCGGGTCACTACGGATTTCGTAGCATGTGCTTCGGAACCGTGGGCCACTTTAAAGTTTTCAGGGCTTACAACCGACACTTCAGGAGTGTTGTGTTCGGGGTTTGGAGTTTAGCATGGGGTTTCAGGGAGTTGATTTTGGGGTTCGGAGTTCAGGATTCATTGTTGGAGTTTTCAACGCCCCAACCCCGAAGCCCGACGCCGTAACCCCAAGTCCACGACTTCTAAAACACAAATATCTAGATCGGAATCATGGGTAACATAATCTCCTTATAATCCCCGAATAATGATACTAGAACATACCGCCGCATACCGTATATGTAACATAATTACCCCCAAACCCGAAAATAAACCCTAAATCAGAAGCCGGAGCCCCTAAAAGAGAAGTGCTTAGGGTTCGGAGTTTTTGGGTGTAAAAGCGCATCGATTTTCATCATCAATTTGCCTGCTGTAGGCATGCATGCAAAAGAGAACCCCGAAAACCTGGCTCTCACTCAAACAAGGAACATGCCGTCATCACACTCAGTCACCATCGTCTTCAGAATCCTCGAGGCCGTCGTCTCCGCTTCTACTCCGATCCCATGGGGCGCAGACCCCGACCCCGAAGCACGTAGGTGACGTGGATCCTGTGAATCAGGACGAATAGCCTCACAAGAACGAACGTCAAGACTTCTAACACCAGGGAGAATGCCGCAATGCTGGACCTGCATGACGACATGGATCTGGGCATGCGAGCTCAGGCGGTTCAGGCCCAAGTCGTACCGAAGCGCACGCTTCATGTAGTCTCTTTCTTCGGGCCTGTCGATGATGGATTGCCATGTCTCTGAAAGCGGGACCTCTGGGCACTTCGCCTTAAAGGCCGCGCACATCCACAACGGTGTTGGTGCCCGACTGGATCATATAGAGCGGCATCGACGCGAAGACTAAGAGTCAAGCAGTTACAGGGCAGATGAAGGGATACGCGAGATGTACTTGGTCGCCTACAGGATCGACTGCGACATCTGCAACGTTCTCAAGACCTCACAATGGGCGCAATGCTTGCTGAGCGAGAGGCCGTGGAATGCAGCTTTACAGGACGAGATGATTTGGCAGGGGATTCTGGATGCGGGCCAGCTTCTCGGACATCCCTACTCCGTACTACACCGAGCGTGCCAAACGCCTATGTCATGCTTCATCCTCACCTACCAAACTTTGAAGAGATGGGCCGCATGCTACCTCAAGTCCCTGGCGATCCATGGGGGCACTTCGAGGACGCCTGTGGCAGTGTCATATGAGTTGCTGCGGAAACCTTGGCCGACAGGCTTTAGGTGCAACTTGACCATTGCATGGCAAAGTCACTCAGCCATGCGGTCCGGGGAATACATTGGTCAATTTCATATTGCTTGGGCGCGCCGCCTACTGACTGAAAGCCGGAGATTACCTCGTCTGAAGCAGTCTGAGCTGAGTTCCTGGCAAGCATCTGACTCGAAGCGCAGAAGTGTCGTTGAATCCGGCCTGCTGGTCCGGCCTCGACTTTCTGACTTTGGGGTTGCATGGCTTGCAGCACGCCAACAGGTTAAAGCGCACCAGCATGCACAAGAACGGTTTTGCATAGCCATAAATGTCACTGGTGCATTTGCCGCATTTGTGCAAGTTGGGCTGAACTTCGTGCATGTTCCAAGAATTGCAAAGACAGTTTCCACATTCGCTGACGAAGTGGTCGTGGAAATCCCAGAACCTGAAAAAAACTGCCCAAACAAAACCTATCTTCGGCACGAGGTCCTGTCCCCCCGGCGGTGGAGGGATCTTGAACACTGCCCTTTGGGCGCCCTGTTCAGCAAGGGTCATGGTCATCCTGCTGGTGCCATAGGGGAGAGGCCCCACCACTATTTGCGTGCCGAGGAAGTGATGCGGTCCTCGAGGTTTGACTCTGCTGGCCGAGGGTTTGGCTACTATGTCGATAGCCAAGTCATCCTCAGCCTTGATGGCTGTGACTTGCTCGAGCCGGACCCGGCAAGCCCGCCTTTCCCACGGAGTCAAAACTTCTCTTATCACAATCACTCCCTCGTCGGATGCCTCGGAGGCATCCGTGGTGGCATCCTTTTCTCCCCCTTCCTCATCAGAGGAGGAGGAAGACGGGGGCCTGGCCGGCTTGGCACTGCTCTTTGCACTGAGGGACTGCAGGATCTTCGGCTTGGCCTAGGCGGGAAGCGGTTTGAAATGAATGATTTCCCGATTTTTGTCCTTGCGGCCGCATGTTGCTTCTGGCCGTTCGGGCCGCATCCTGAATGGCATTCAGCACTGCCGACGGGACTTTAACTTTGTCCACGCCGGAGCGCAAATCTAGCGGCCATGCTACGCCACGCCGCTCCGAATTGACCATATGGCGAGCCCTCTCAAAGTTATAAGCAGTTCGGCTGCTGGCCATATGGATGAGGACTGGTTCAGGGACGCCCTCATTGGCAACATAATCGTTCATCCACCTGTCCAGTTCCTCATCCGTGCAGCTGCCGATTCCTTGGGGATCGCCATAGTTTGCAGCATGAAAAGCCACGAAGGCTTGACACGTCGTCATCGTTTTGAAAACCTCATGGAAGCACTGTTGACCTGTGTGGTGTCCACCAAGCATAGGCCAACGCTGTGCTTCAGTAATTAAGTTGCGAAGGGCCTCCGCCTGGCGTCTGGGCCCTTTGACATTGAAACGCAGACTCGGGAACACCTTCCCCGACTTGCCAGTTGGTGAGGCTGTCTTGCTGTGCCAAGGTCCGAGGAGGCATGTGAAAATGTAGCTGACGATGGAAACCTTCAGAGCAAGCGTCAATGTCCTTGTAGCCTGTGACAGTTCTTCAGGTATAGGTCAATGCACGCAGGGGCGGCATAAGTGCCACCCACGGCAATTCCGACACCTTGGAGTTGTTGTCAAGTCAAGCTAAAATATGATGGCTCATGTGCACGCGCCGATTAGCATTGAAGTGTTTACCACATTGGCTTCAACTGCGCAACGCTGCAAACGAGAGTCTGGCTTCACACCAGGACAATGACAAGCAACTGCCTGCTTGAAAATGAAAGCCTTTGTTGGCATGCCACTATGCCGCTCGGTTTCCTGACCTGTGAAAGCCGATGCATTAGAGTATCATTGAGACCAAAAATCTCCCCGTTTTGTGTTGAAGGATAACCCAAATAGCGGTATCCTTACAATCGCCGCTGTTACCTCTCAAGAACGGGTATGCTTGCACCAAGGTTGGTCATTGTGTCGCTCTAGAGCCACGAAAGCCAGAAACTCAAAACCTGTGGCCAACGTTCGCCCTATCAAACCAGCATCGAATCGAAGCCGTCCCTGAGGCGCGCAGAACTACTTGTTGAGGCGAGCTGCGCCAGCAACTCTCAGCCATTTGCTCAATGAACTTTGGGCCAAAACAATACTCCCAAAGTCAGCCGAGGCACAGGAACACCTCTGCCGTCACAGCGCGGTTCTTGGATCTGGGAAACCATGGTCATCACACCTTTGAAGATCAGCAGAGCCCTGGGCAACCATCCACACACAACTACTGCGTCCACCTGTCTTTGCAGCCCGGGACTCCACCACTGTAATGAGCTCCATTGGGTTGCAAGTTGCTGCAGGCAAACGGCACTCTGCTCGCTACTGATTGTGGTTTGATCACGCACAGCTGCACGGGCCATGTGGGAAGCGACCTCACCAATACTTTGCATTCAATCATGTCCTCTTCAGGCCAAGCCAGCCCTTCACGTTGATGTCACTTGGTGGCGCCGCAGACGAAGACGTCCAAAGCTTTCTTCGCTCCATGACTACCGGAAGGCCACATGCAGGATTGAGATGCACATGCCACGACAGGACAGAAAATGTTGGAGACAAGTGCGACGGGGGTATGTCCGGTGCCAATGTCATTTGACGTTTCACCTCATCCGTGACCAAGTCCTTGCATGTGATCGCTCTAGATGTAGCCGAGGTAGTAGACGACGTCGACCAAGTCACCCACGAACACGGCGAGGAGCTTGATGTAGCCAAGGACGAAGATGTATGCACTGTTGTAGACCAACTTGGGTGATGTGGATGGCGAGGAGCTTGACACAGCTCAGGAAACAAACGATGCGTAGTTCCCTACGATGCCAGTCTGTGGCCCATTTCAGGAACGTATACATGACGCGGTCGTCCAAGATCTCCCTCACAGAACACATTGCAAGTTGCATACTGCTGACGTCATCCACGTCATTCACTTCAACGCTCACATCTCAGACTGCCACAGCATCAGGAGGGCTTGCGACCGCAGGTGCCCCCCCTCGAACTCCCCTCTCCAACTCGGCGGCTCTTTCCATATCCCATGCAGTTTGGCACCTGCAACAAAATGCCCGAGTCCATGTCCTCCTCCCCGGTGTCACTGTTCAGTGTAACTGAGGACGAGGAATTCCGCCCGATTCGACGTGGGCTTCGCCTGGTATCTCGCCTAGATCTGTCACACTGGAACTTGCCGGTGTGCTCGACGTCCAGGCAAGCGTATCTGAGCACGACTCACTCGCCACCCATCTGGCTTCCTCTTCGGTGTCCACTGGCTGAAGCAGAGTCTGGAGGCAATTTTCCGCTTTGCAGAATCACGGTGCAGTAGTTCCCGCGCTCACCCGAAGAGGGATACTCGCTTGGCCCCGCATTCTCAGAATTCTCACTATGGGCAGGAAACCCCGCGGCTGCAATCAGCATTCCATAGTGGTCAGGAGGAGCCCGGGCAGCTCTTCCATCTCACTTGCCCTCCTCAAGATACACCCCAGAGACCATCGCACTTCGGCTCCCCCGCTCTCTTCTTGATGAACTCGAAGTTTGTGGTCCAATCCGCTTCAGGCAGTCCATCTCCACGTTGGTCACCTGTATCATCTGGACCATGTCTGTTTCCTCATCCTCGTCGGGATGGGGACGGCTTTCGCGAACAAAGCAGCAGACGTGGTCACAGGCGCCGTCCAGCTCGATGTGGTAGCGATGAAAATAAAGAGAAAGTCGCTCCAACCATGACAATGTCTATGCATGCCCGCGAAGTCGAGGAGGTAGTCGAAGTGGTAGAAGTCACCTTTGTCGCTTTTGGAAATGCATCTGTACCCCCATTTTGCCCATTGGCCATGCAATCTTCAGTGATGCAAGAGGAGCAGTAGGACATGCGCCCAATCCCCATTCGGCGTGTAATCGTAGCGTGCAAGTCGTACTTCACGAGATGGATTCACGTCATGGCTGCTTTCCACACGGGTATCGTTGGAGGCTGCACGTCGCGCAACTTCGCACTCCCGACGGTCGACCTGATAACGATGTAGCCATGTGGGCATCCAGCGCGCTTTTTGCCATTCTTGGACACGTTGTGCGCGGCGAAGTTGTGGTTGTGTGCCTTGTCCCCCTCGATGGTCCTACGGTTCGGGGTTTAGGGTTTAAGTGAGCTACCGCCAACTCTTGCCAAGGTGAGCACAAGGCTCCGAAGAAACGAGGCTCTGATGCAAACATAGACTTCAGCACTTCGGGGTGTAGGGTTTAGGGTGTAGGGTACAGGAATTAGGGCTTAGGGTTTACGGTTTTGGGTTAAGGGCTCAGGGTTAGGACTTGTTAAACGCTGCCCAACCCGCGCCAACCCAGCTCCCACAACACGGCAGCCGCTCCTCGCGCCCTTGATCTTGGCAAATGGCCCAGCCGGCCTGTTCGGCGGTTTGTGGCAGAGGGAGTTGATAGGGATCTACGGAAAATGATATGGACAGTTTAAGTTACCACAATAAGGACCTACAGTAAATATTACCAGAATAGGGATCTATAGAAAATGATGTGGTTTCCTTATTCCGGTAAAGCAAATGAAACCCCTGAAAAGATGCCGCTCTTCAATGTCAGAGGCAACACACATCCATGTCTACAACACCGACTCTTTCTGTCCTGGTGCTGATGCATGAGCCGTAATGTTTAGCAACGGAGGTGAGGTGGTGTAGGGACTGCAGGGAGCCATTGTTGCCAGGTGTTCCGATCTCGATATTGCTCCAAGAGTCGCTACAGCTCTGTTCGTGGTCGCTACGCCATACGGGGACCGGGGGACCGGTAGGAGCATTTACAATGTAGCACCGACATGCATAACTCGAACCTAGGGGGCTTGAACGGTTGTCATATCCACGGCTCTGGTTCACAGCAAAAAGCAAGACGATCACTAGTGCCATGTCTACGAGTGCTCTGACCAGCATGATCATCATGCCGATTCGGTCAGGAGAAGCTCCTCCCTCCAAAGCCTAAACCTTCACAAGCCTCGCAGAGCCCCTCCAAATGCCTCTAACAGCGTTGTGAACCCCCGTAAACCCTTGGAAACTGAAATAAAAAATCCGGAAAACCCATCTCAAAGCCCCGCTGAGTAGAGCCTTGTCGTCGGTCATGCGGCCCAGCTTCCAGAAGTTATGGGGGCTCCGAAACATGTGGCATTCCTGGGCGGTTTTTTCTCCTGCAGGTTGGAGTTCGGCCCGAAAAAAAAAACTGAAACAATCAAAGCCTTCCTCAGGGTTCAGCAGCTTTCCGAGTTTGACAATGCGACCAAAGGGCTCTATGTGGGGGCCCCTTGTTTCTTGACATTCCCACGTGGCATACCATCACCCTAACTCCTGCACAAAAACCCGAAACCCCTAAACCAGAAGTCCCTAAATCCTAATCCCCAAACACCCCTAAACCCGAAGCCCCTATATCCTAATCCCCAAAAACCCGAAGTCCCTAAATCCTAATCCCCAAACACCCCTAAACCCGAAGCCCCTATATCCTAATCCCCAAAAACCCGAAGTCCCTAAATCCTAATCCCCAAACACCCCCAAACCCGAAGCCCCTAAACCCTAAGCCCCTAAATCCCAAACCCCAAAATCCATAGAAAGCCCGAAAGAGCGAAGCCCTAGGCTTCGTTCGACGGCTGCGGCCGACATCCTATTGGCCTGGCTGTCTCTCCGGCTTAGGATTTGGATTAGGGTTCAGGGTTGTTTAGGGTATTTTGTTTAGGGTTAAGGGTTTAGAGTTTAGGGTTTAGAGGGTTGAGGGTTTAGGGCTTAGGGCTTAGGCTGTTGTCCAGGGTTTGGTTTCCGGAGGCTGTAGGGTTTAGGGTTTTGAGCTTACAGTTTGGGGTTCAGTTCAAGCTTCAGGCTTGGAGATGGTCACCTTAGGGTTGTATTTGGGGTTCGGGATGTAGAGGTTTCAGTCCTAGGGCTTGGGGTTGAGGGCATCGGGCTCACGGCGTGCGAACGACAAACGCATCTGTCTAACAAAAGCTCAATCTGAAATCCCAATGCGCAGGCAAAGCAACGGTGCAGTGAATCTTCTTGTCCTCCAGCTTCACCTGCTGGAAACCTCGAGTGAGGGCTTCGAGTTCAGAGTGCAGGTCTCAGGGCTGAGGCTCAAATGATGGTAAAAGCTAGCTTCCAAACACAAGTCCCGCAAACGGAGCATCAATCTGGTGGATGTGCAGAAAAATCAGAAATCTTTAAACCCACAGGACTACGTACAGCTTGCCCCGGCGCCGCAAGCTGATGTACGTCGTAAACCCCAAACCCGCAACTGGAGCCTTCCGTAAACCCCAAACGCAAACACCTGAAACAGAAGCAATGAACGCTGACATCGATATCCAAATTCACGACGCCAACTCATACCCGCGCACACCACAGAGACCTAACAAAGACAATAATATAGGTGCCTTGATATTTAGAATAACGTTTTGGGGCCCATTATACTATAAATATAATAAGGAACCCTCTTAATAATATTAGTATTTATAAAAGCTCCGACACAACAAACCCGCAGGCCGGGCAGATGGGGACAAGCTGTGACAAGCAGGTGCGATTCAGAGACCTTCAATACACCAGAACCCTAAACCCCAAGCCCTAAACACCAAAGCCTAAACCCTGAAGACGGTACACCTACTTGGAGGTTCATGGGTAATTATAAATGGGGTTATACGTCCCCTAATCGGGGTAGTTATAACCACAGTTATCCTAAATATTACCTCACTTATAACTACCCATGAACCTCCACGTAACCCACAGCCGAGCCGGGCGGCAGGGGCCCATCGCAGGGTCAGATCCGGAGTCTTTTTCGTAGTACCAGCCGGTGAGCTTTCGGATCACCTTCGAACCGGTGACCTGGGCGTAGGGCTCAATGTCTAGCGTTTGGGGCCTACGGTCCAACCCCCGAACCGTAAACCCTAACAGTCAGGGTTTAGGGCTACGTTTTGGGTCCAAGATTCGAGGGATGCAGTTTTTCGGGTTGGCGGGTTTAGCTTTGGACTCGAAGAGCAGATCCCCTAATTCCCATGATTCTTGTACTTCCTGATTACAATCATCATTATTGTTACTGTCATTGTTCGTGCTATTGTTTGGTGTATTATGGTTGCTATTCTGCTAGTACTCTTACAACTACCACGACTACTACTACTACTACTACTACTACTACTCCTCCTACTACTACTACTGCTACTACTACTACTACTAGTAGTAGCAGTAGTAGTAGTAGTAGTAGTAGTAGTAGCGGTAGTAGTACTACTAGCCAGCCCTCCCCTACCAACCACCTGGCGCATCAACCCATCAACCTCATCATCAATGATAATGACAGTTGCAGAAGATGCAAGGGCTCAGGTTCCCCATCTGTGACAGATGCAATAGTAAACTTGCCTGTTCTGCTAATTAACACTGTTACAGCTGCTGCTGCTACTACTGCTGCTACCACTACGACTACTACGACTACTACTACTACTACTACCGCTACTACGACTGCTACTACTACTACTACTACTTCTGCTTCTAACTCCATTCTACGTCTACGTCTACTTCTACTTCCACCTCTACGTCTACTTCTACTTCTACGTCTCCTCTACTTCTACTTCTTCGTCTCTTTCTACGTCTACTTCTACATATGCTTGTACTTCTACTTCTACGTCTACTTCTACGTCTACTGCTACGTCTACGTCTATGTCTACTTCTACTTGTATTCGTATTTGTACTTAAAATTTCTACGTCTACGTAAGCCTACTTCTACTTCCACCTACATTTCCACTTCCACATGCACTTCCACTTCCACTTACACTTACTTCTTCTACTACTTTTTCTACTTTTCCACGTCTTCTATTTCTTCTCGTTCTTCTACTTCTATTACTTCTACTACTCCTACTATTTCTACTACTTCTACAACTTCTACAACTTTTACTACTTCTACTACTTCTACTACTTCTACTACTTCTACTTCTTGTAATACTGCTACTGAAGCGGCGGCACCCCCGCGGCCCGCGAGCCTCAAGGAATGAGAAATTTACCGGAACCATTCAATGTTGGAGCATGCTCTACTTTCGTAAGAAACTCTACGGAATAGGATTACTTACTCTTCCCCAACCAACATGGAAACACTATCGCGTTCTTAATCTAGAAGTAAAGGGAACAAACAGGCTCTCCAACCCACGTGCAGTACAAATTTTGGCCTCGCAGCCTATCATTCACAAAGGAGCCGTGCGATACACTCCCGCTGTGGTGCAGTGCAGACTTTCTGCAAGCGCTTGTTTGCAGAGGATCCTTACTGCCAGAAAGAATTTTGGGTGTCCTTCTGGGTACCGCCAGCTAAAGGGAGGAAGCACAAGCGTCGTGGCTTTGAAATTCGCCGGTACCCTGGGAAAGCAATTTGCCCGTGATCCTGGATGCACCAGTATTCCGGGGAATGCACCAGTATTTCGGGGAACGCATTCCGGCTGCATTCCCTAATCCTCCTGAATCACGCCAGTTTTGGGGCAAACAGTTTGGACATGTTCTGGCGGTCTTTGTGTGGTTTCTTGGGGGTCTTCTGTTCTCCTCGTGGTTTCCTGGTTGTTCTGGTCGTCGTCGTCCCAGTCATGGCCGTCACGGTCGCCGTGGTGCTGTTTCACTATTTGGGGGTCTACCCTGGCATAATTCAGGCTTCTATATGAGCCTCGACAACCTGGGGATTAACAAAAAAGCAATCAGGCACAGAACGCTTCAAAAAAGAAGGGAGCAAGCGTCCCAGAGTAAGGGCACCACACGCTTGGCGTGGCGACGCGCCTGCAACGAGACGAAAAACAGCACCACACAAACATGTCCGAAGAAAGATGCCAAACACCCGCTGACAAAAATCGAAGGACCTTCCAATGCGACGTTGTGGGCGGCGGCGACCCAGGTGCCAGTCGACCTTGCGCGACGAACACAGGAAACTACGATGCTAACAAGCATTCAATCAGAAGGGTGCGAACTGAAATGCCATCTGAATCCAAATCTGGGTTGCATGTATGCGGATGTGTGTTCCGTGGTTACTGTGCAGTTGCTGTGAAATTTAGAAGGTATGCGGTCAGACCCCGCTTGCACGAGACACTTAGCTCAAGTTCTTAGAAAGAAAGTACGGGTGTCAACTGAAAGAGCGTCGGCCAGCAACGGCTAAAACGACATCAACAAGACAACTTCTAGTAACAGCAATCGCAGCACAACAGTGCACAGAATTCACGGACCAGCATATTTCGCGAACAGCACAACCTCTACCTTAAGCGGTTGCCTCTTATTGCTTGTAGCATCGCTCTTTGAATGTGATGTTGGCGCTCACTCAGCTTGCCAGTCGAGAACATGATCGGAAGACAACAAAGCCAACTAGCAACGTGCACAGATGAATCTTGGATAATCGCGCACACAGTTCCAAGAACATCAGATCAGGACGACATAACCGAAACAAAGAAGATATCAAAAGACCTGAACTGCAGGAAAGAACCGGGTCAGTTATGACCGAGACTTGCCTCAAGCCCTGGGGTTGCCAATTGCAGTTTAGCTACATGCTTGTCTTGCCTTTGCACGTCATGCTGGTCTAGTTGCACACGTCAGCGAGATGTATGCTAGCAACTGTTATAATCTTCTATATCCAAATGACCTGCCTTTGCCAGAACGATCGGCAGACTGGGCTCAGGTTTGCAGAGATATGGAGGCATATCCAGAAGCATACCAATACCCCAGACACATTGCGAAGCAGTCAAAAGCATGTTGACTGTTACTGAAACACAACCCAAGACCAAACCTCGGAAACTTTAATACGCTCATCACGCCGAAAAAAGGGGGCTTCCCCATGTCACGACTGAAGCATCGTCAAGAACGGCAGCAAAAGCTTTATCAGAGGATTCGATGCGCGGCTTGGATCTGCTGCACGTTCTTCAGCTGATCCTGCATTGCACTACTGCCGCCCCCCTCCAAGGCATTGCCTCAGCTGCCGACCGAGCCATCACCCAAAATGGCAGCAAAAGCCCGTGCTTCGACTGCTGCGCATTTGTCAAAATTCATCCTAGGAAGCCCTGATTTCCCCGCCAGTTCAGGACCCGCCCCCAAGAGTGGCTGCGCCGAACCAGAGGCTTGGCTTGCACCTCAATACTGTCACCACCACTAGATTCACTAGATGCAAAGCCAGCTTCAGCTCGGGCTCGGAGAAGGCCAGGTGCGAGGGCCGCCGCTGAGTGCAGAAGCTGGTCTCGTGGGCCCACAGGACGCTGTCCGAGTTGGTGAGCGCTGCTAACACATCACCGCAGGGTCATCTCCCACTCTTCTCCCCATTCCTCCTCGAGGGCTTTCCACTTTTATATTTTATCTGCTTAAGCACGCCTTCGCGTCAGCCACTCGAGGAAGGAGCTCTCGCTGGATGCGGTAGGTAGTACCCTTGGTCGTCCACCCGCTACTATTGGCCCCTTTCCTGTTCGAACCAGTCCGCGACTTTGGTGACTAGGCTCGAACACGTTCACCCGGGCGCACAGATAACCAGGCATCCTTCACGCTCGAGGCCAACATGGTAATTGGGTCCTTGCTCCCAAGCATTCGATCCTCCCGCCTTTGGTCTGCAAACAACCGTAAGCAACTTTGCAACTGGGGCGAAGAAGTCAGGACCATCAGTTTCCAACCATTTGTACTCTCGAGCAACAGCCTAGACCTTCGTAGATGCATCTCAACACCACCTATCAGCTTGCACCAGCAAGTCCTCACAAACTCGGTTGAGAAGCAATTTGCCCCATCCAGCGGAACCCCGCCCGTCAGGCCTGCACACCTAAGCAGACCTTTGCGTAGCCAGCGTTGAATCTCAAACATGTCTGCGATCCGATCAACATCGCTTTGCTGCCCGGCGGTCAGGCTTGGCTCCTCAACAAAGCCTTAACTCAAGAGCCAGAAGCTCATCAGCCAACATTGCACCTGCAGCTCGCAAATGCTCGGTGTTACACTCCGCCGGGTATCCCACCCACTTGCATCATTGCTGTTGTGGGGTGCACTGCTAGCATCAACAAGGATTGAAGGATCGGCTCATTCAGCAGGCTGCTCGCGTTCTTCGTCATTCACAGCCAGGTCTTTAGTTGCTACCCTAGGCTATCATCTCCGCCTGCGTCTGTCGCCGCCGGCCTCGTGCAAATGAGCATCGCACTGTCAGAAAGCAAAGTAGGCGACGGTAAGTAGCGGTAATTTCTTTACTTCAGGCTGCTCACAAGGAGCACAGAGAGCGCTGGTCTGCGCCAGACCTCGGGTTTCGCAAGTCGTCACTGTCTGTCCATGTCAAGCAGGCGGCTAACGCAAAAGCCGGCGACATCCCGAAACCCGTGCCTGTGGCCAAGCAAATCGGGAATTTCTCCATCAAAAGCTGCTCTCCGGTGAAGCAGATACCGATCACCAATGCGTCCCAAAACCATAGCAAGCGTTGCTGTACGTCAACATCAGGAAAGCTGGCCGCGGGAAAATCCTGAAATCCATGCCAGCACTTCCTGGTCCACCTACGCACTGTCGATGGATGGGAGACCTCTGACCTATATCGACCTATCGGAACGTTTCCATCCAAAAAATACTCCGGAAAAGCATCACCAATGCTTCTCAAATCTTGCGCCCAGCAAGTCGCTGCTGTGTGCGCGGACAGCTCACGAAAGCCGGCCACGAAGATCCGAAAACCAAGCCTGCACGTCTGATCCACCCGGACACGAAAGACTTTCCGCCTCGTAAATCGGATCCGCCAGCTCATCAAGAGCCAACTCAAGGCAACCCCCAGTCCAAGCGCAGGTCTGGACAGGCATGGCCGAAGGACCCACTGATTCACCTGCCTTCGGAGGATTTTGCTTGTCAGCAAACCTGATGGCAACCCAAGTTCAAGCCTGAAGAGGGATGGCCGTGACATCCATCGATTCCTCTCCCTCGAACGTCGGAGGCTTCTGCTTATACTTATACAACCAAAACAGACGCAGCTCTTTAACAAGTAATTCAAGCAAGAGACACAAGCCGCAAAGCGAATCCATGCGATGTGCAATCTGCTCCTTTCTTGATGCGACGCTACCCCTTTCCATCGCGATCGTGAACTCAAATGTTTACAGCGCCGCTGCACCGCTGTCTTTGGCCCTGCGTCTGGCCGCTTCTTCGGGTCCTCCTGCACGAAATGCTGACGGCCTGAGGACTCTTCGTGCTCCTGACATGCGGCCTGGTCGGAGAAGCGGCACTGGAAACCGACGAGGAGCTCACCTGTGACATTGCCGCTCGCCCAACCGACATACATGAAGCCAGCCAGGCCAAGACTCAGCGCAGCGTGCTTTCCACTTTCCAGTCTGTTTGCGGCAGCGGTGGCGCTTCGGGTTCGCGGCCGACGGCAGTGCTGACCAATCCGCCTGATGCTTGCTGGGCGGCGTAGCCATCTGCACATTCAGGACTCGAGACATGGCAGTAGGGTCAAAAGGAAAGGGATCATCAACGAAGCCGACCGGTTCCCAGAACCAAATCGCCCTGAAAAGGGAAGCGGAGTAGCCCATGTCATCAAACTGGCAACCTGACAGCTCATAGAAGTCATGGAAGGCAAAACCACTGCATGCACTCAGCTAAAAGCCGAAAAAGTAGAAGATTCATTCACTTCATTCGAGACAGCATTCGCATGACGAGAACCATCTCGTGCACCAGAAGTCTTGCCACGTATACGTCTCGTAATTCTGAAACTCCGTGCTGTTCCAAAAGGTCATGCACTGTGCTCTGCGCGGAAACAGGATCATCATGAACATCAGTAGAAGCCGTCTGACCCGCAAGAGTCACCCTCCGCCAAATATCAACTGCGGCTTCATGACCCTTGTCCACTGCGCGAAGAGAAATCCAGCGAGGCGAACAGGACATCGCTTTCGTTCACAGCATTTCAGAGCACTGCGGAGTGCGTTTCATGTTGTGACGGTTGTTCCAAGGCCATTGCTCGTCACACCGCAGAAACATCACAGCACAACGCGGCGCTGATCTTGAAACAGACCCATCCCACGCGAGCCAGTGTTGCCTCATATTCTGAAAGAGCGCCGCACAGAGCATAATTCGGGTCAGGAAGCCACTGTCGCCGAGGTAAGTTGGCCTGCCGGCACTTAGTGCGCGAAATGCATCACCCCCACGGGACGTGCTCCACGGTCTGTAGGCCGCTCTCGCTGCACTCACAGTTCGATCTGGTTTTGTAGCGATGTTAGCAGCCAACGTCCTATGTCACCAGCTCGCCTGACAGAAGCAAATGAAGAACCAGAGGCCCGCATACGAGAGTCCTCGTGTGCTACCGCGACAGATTCGCCGGAGTGGGACTTCGAATCATGGTCAAGTCGACGGATATACGCCGAAGTCTGGCCACGAAGAATACTTGGCTGAATCCCTTGAAACCAGGACGACCGCGAGAACCACAAGTCACAAGTCGACTGCGCCTGTCTCGAGTCTCCAGACTTCGCGCACGTGCTGCAGCCACAAGCCAAGTTCATGCTGTGGGCGACGAAACATGTCTGCAACAACACCGCGAAAATGAGGCATAGAGTCAACCTGTCGTAGCTTCGCGTTGCGACCATCTTTAGCCGCAACGTAACACGTGGCGAATGGAAAAACACGCGCGCGAAACACGTGCGCGAAAACGTCAGACCGTGAAGGTCGACCACATCCCGCGCCACACCAACGAAAGACAGTCGACCACTCCGCAAATCGCGGGCTCGACGAAGGCGAAATCAAAAGCCAGAAATACAGGCCAAGCCTGATATTGGCAGTGGCCGCTTCGAAGAAGCCACCGAAGAATCGCAGAACGAAGCTTGTTGAGAACACCCTCCTGTGGCCGAGCGGCGCCAAGAACCCAGGAGCAAAAAGAACCGGAGGTTCAGAAGTCAACACCTGGCATGAAGACGCACGAGGACAAGCCCCGATATCAGCCACAGGCGAGTCCGAGAATCCGGCAGTGGAGGCACCGAGGTCGTCGTGGCCAAGAGTCGGGACCTAGCAGCAAGGATGCAACCTGCAAATAACCAGATCTGTCCCGAGCACGCGACCTAGAGAACCGGATGTTCATCGTCCAAGACCTGCCAATCACGACCAATGCCACGGACAAGTGCGAAAGTCCGACAGCACTGGATGCATCGGCACATCCCGGAATCGGTGCCTGGCACTGCGATCCAAGCGATCCTTGATAAGCCATGGGCCACGAGTTTCCGACTGCAGCTGGACATCGACGTCCGGGATGCAGCAGCCTCCAGCCGTGGAGTCACGGGATCATCATCGGCCTGCAGGGACAAGCCAACTCGTTCAGCGGAGCCAAGGCAGCAAGGATATGCCCAAAGAAAGCCAACAATGTCACATTCACAGACTCACTCCATGGTTTCGAATACAGCTACGATACTACTAACCATAATAATCACAATCATCACAATCTTCATAATAATCATAATGCTAACAACAATAACAACAACAATAGTACCAATAGTAATCATCAATAAAGAATAAGAAGAAGGACAATCATAGAAACAGTAATAATAGTCACAATAGTATTAACCATGGTCGTACTCATGATCACCAGTACAATGAAAAATAGAGTAGAGAAGCGATGATGATTTTACTATAAAACTACTACTAGTAGTAGTAGTAGTAGTAGTAGTAGTAGTAGTAGTAGTAGTAGTAGTAGTAGTAGTAGGAGCAGTATGAGTAGCAGTAGCAGTAGCAGCAGCCGTGGCAGTAGCCGTAGCAGTGGCAGTGGCAGTAGTAGTTGCTGCTGTCAGCTGGTATTGCCGTAACAACTAGTGACTGGTAACAACAACAACAACAACAAAAGTATTAATGTTCGTGACAACAACGGTAATCATGATCATGATGATGATACCACTAATAGTCTTCTCAACACTGCTAATACAGTAAAAAAGTCAAACAATAGTAAACATGACAGCTTAAGACTGGTAGTAATCGTAGTAGTAGTTGTTGTGGCTGCTGCTGTTGTAATAAGACTGAGTAATGATAAGAAAGAAGAAGAAGAACAGTAATAACAATAAAGATGATAGGTTCAAAAAGGACAATAAGAACAACAATAGCAATAACAGTAATGGTAATGCTAGCTTGGAGAGAGTAGTGACAACCTAGAATGGCAGCAGAGCGCACGCATCGTTGAGCAGCTGCACCGCTTTATATGTTAAGAGCCTGGGCTTTGATTTAGGGGATTTGAGTTTCGGCATTTGGGATTTGGTGATTTGCCCCCCCCCCCCTCCGAACTTCCTGGCTAAAGCCCGCAGCAGCCGAACTGCCTAATATAGGTGCCTTATCCTTATCAAGCAGGGTTTCATGATCGTATACTTGCAAAATGACTACAATAAGGGGATGCTACGGTTGATCATATGATCATATAGATCCTGCATTTCCTTTAAGGACCCCTAAACTATGGGATTTATGATATATTCCTTCTTATGGGTTTCAACCGTTTACTAGCTATTCCGATGGGATTCCAAAGCTCCAGAGCGAAGCCCTCAAACCGTGGAAAACCTTGAGCTCACCTCGAAAACCGATTCAGTGCTTGGGGTGAGGCAGTTATGAAGGGTTAGGGATGCAGCTATGAAGGGCTTAGGGTGTTTAGGATAAAGATGTTGGCAGGATTTGGGGCCCAGGGATGCTCCGGTACCTGCAATGGGAATAAGTGAGTGAGTGGTCTCAGGGATCACTTAGCACCAAACAGCGCCAAGGTACCTTCCTCTCGCTGCCCCACATGTACAGGAGTCGCGTCGTCTCCGCAAATCCCCTCGGCTTCTGCTACCATGACTGGTCTTGGCCGGGCATGCCATAGGCTTACACTTGGACTTAGATCATAACGTCCAGGCGTGTGCCACCGATGATTCAATGCGACAGTGTACGCAGATTGACCCACATAGCTCACCAATGACAATGAAGCAAAGAGGGAAACAGAGCGACCCCAGCGGCATGCTGCTGTTTGTTCAGCATCAAAAGCTGCCGTCGCTACCACGACCGGCACCACCACCCCGACCAGCACACGCCACGTAGTAATCATACTAAAAAAAGGTGTTACGAAATTGACAAAAAAATAAAAGAGATATGAACCCTAACCCCTAAAAAGTAAAATCCGTGATATGAAGAAGCAAGGCTCCTCTCCACCAGAAGCTTGTGGATCTTCTTCCCCTGCTGTGGAGCTCCAAGGCGTTGCCACGAGAGTTTAGGGCATAGGGTTCAGGGTTAAGGGTTAAGGGTTTAGGGTTTAGGGTTTAGGGTTAAGGGTTAAGGGCTCAGGGTTTAGGGTTAAGGGTTTGGGTTTGTGGTTTAGGGTTTTGGGTTTAGGGTTTAGAAATCGTTTTCGAACTGAAACTCTTCCCGACTCCCTGAACATAAGGTTTAGGGCTCTAGGGGTTTACGGCTTGGGGGTTCAGGGTTCTAGGGTCACCCACGCTAACAAGCCTCAAACCCTAAATCCGTAACGAACCCTAAATCCTTCATAAACCCTAATTCCTGTGTAAACCATAAGTCCCGAACCTTAAACCTTGAACCCAAGCTCAGGACGGTTGGGACTAGGGTTCAGGGTTTTAGGTGTTTGGGGTTTTGCGTTTAAGAAAAATGCTAGGTTCTAAGCTGATTGAATTTGCAAATTTGCAGAAAAGGTACAACAGAACAAGAAGAGCTGAACAAGAAGAGCTCTACACGCTAGACAGAGCCCCAAGAAAGTCCGGCCTTCGCAGGCTTGCGCTTGGAGTTTGTTGGCTTTTAGTTCCAGGTGGAGTCAACCCTAAACCCTAAACCCCTAAACCCTAAAACCCCTACCCCCCTAAACCCTAAACCCTGAACCCCGAACCCCAAACTCCCAAACCCCGAAACCCCTGAACCCTAAACCCCTAAACCATACACCGTGGCTTGCAAGTCTTGGAATCTCGGCTGCAGAAGCTACGTCCTGAAGAGTTCAGAGTCCAGCGGCCTACTGTAGGGGCCCTAATCATTAGAATAGGGTTCCCTTTCAAGGGTTCCTTACAGGGATACTATAAGGGTTACCATAAGGGATCTGCAAAAATACTATAATACAAGTGCCTTGGTAATTAGAATAGGGTTTTGGGGGCTCCTTATGATACTTTTAATATGATACACCCCCGAACCCTGTTCGGAGAATTAAGGCTAGTTTAAGAGGCTATCCAAAGACCCATATCCTGAATGCCTCACACAACCTTATCCTGCTTCTTCGGGTTTAGGGTTGAGGGTGTCCGATGCAGTGTACGACGTGTGGCCTGGCCTACTTGGAGGTTCATGGGTAGTTATAAGTGGGGTTATAATTAGGGTAACTATAGTTATAACCCCTATTAGGGGACTTATAACCCATACAACCCCATGTAAAACTACCCCTGAACCTCCAAGTAGACAGGATCAGCACCCAGGAAACGAGTCAGAAGAATCGAAGGACCGCTGCTCGAAACCGCCAAACCCTCAAAGAAACGGGCCTGCGCGAGCTGACACCCCCAAACACCATGGATTTTGGTAAGACCCCAGACGTACAGTGCTAAAGCCTTGACCCTAAACCCTAAAAATAGGGGCCATGATAATTACCTATACTATTTTGGTGGGTTCCTTGTTATACTTATAGTATGATGGGCCCCAAACCCTATTCCAATTATTATGGCCCCTACATTACAGCACCCTTATAGCAACCCTTAAAGATCTCTTTAAAGGAACCATTACAGATCCCTTTTAAGACCCACACCTTTATCCTCCGCCCGACAACCCTAAAGCTGTGAAAACCCGAAACCTTGCACCTGCGGTTGATGATAGAAATCCTGCCTTAGTCTATATATTCCTTATTATGGGTAATGCAGGCTTTATATCATCAGCCGTACCCTAAACCCTAAACCCTAAACCCTAAACCCCACTCTCGCCTCCTGAAGTAGGCCCCGTCCATCATAGGAGATCTCCTCCGCTTCGATCCTCGGCTCCCAGCGACTCCAATACCCCCTTAATTAGGGAATATTCCTTAAATCATATTAGGGATCCTACTATAATTCTAAACTATATTCCTGAAATCATATTAGGGATCCTACTGTAATTTTAAACCCTAAACCCTAAACCCTAAACCCCTAAACCCTAAACCCTAAATCCTAATTTAAGGTATATTCCTTAACTAAGGGATCTCGGAGTCTCTGGGCTGCAGGCATGGTCTCATATTGGGGTCTTGATCGGTTTAGGGCTCCTTTAGAGGGATCTATAAGGGTTCCTCTAAAGGGATGTATAATGGTTCTGTAAACGGGTTTAGGGTTCAGGGGCTTAGTGGTTTAGGGTTCGGATTAGAATAGGGTTGCGGGCAGCACACTTATAAGAAGGAACTTTAGGGAACAGTATTCGAAACTGTTCCGGCCTTCAAATTCGCAGCTGTTTGCTTCAGAGGAGCATGGGGTATTTACTGAGGCTCGGGGTTGAAACTGCGAGCTTTCTGCAGGGAAGGTCTTGAAACGAAACAAGCTAGGCTTAGGGTTGAAGGGACTAGGGCACAAGGTTTTCCATCCTGAGCCCGTCAGATGAACTAGACAATCCGCTGTTCTCTGAACCGTATCTTCCAATCTTCCGGTGGGTCCCCCAAGGCGGAGAAGCCATCACTGCCATCTTCAGCACTACTCAAACCCTAAACCCTAAACCCTAAACCCTACTCCACAATGGGTTCGCGAACACGTTCCCCTTTCATTCAGGGCCCCAAGGCTGCTCAGCTTATGGGAGTTTCCGAAAATTAGGGGTACCTTGGTGGGGGTCCTTATAATAAGGATCCTACTATTTGGGGTACTATATTAGGGTCCCCTATTATAGGAAACTCCCTTATGAGAGTTCCTAAACCTCAAAAGTACGTGGAATGCTGTGCCAGAGCTTTGGCCCAGCGTCTCTTTCTCCGACATGTTGTAAGCATCGTAGATCTTCAGGTGCGGAGATTGACGGTAGTGGCTATAGTCCACGATGGTCTGAGGCGTGGCGTGGGCTTGACCACCTTACCCTGATTAACGCTTGTCTCAAAAGTTGGGGCCTAGGTGCAGTTTAGATTCGGCTTGTGGGGTGGATAGCTTGGTTTGGCGATTAATCGACTGTCAGGGTTTGGTCCTCCAGGGCTTGTTGCTGCGGCAGCCTGTTTTAACACAAGAAAGAGTGATGTGTTACCAAACCGTACGGCAAGTCCTGCCCTGACATACGAAGGCCTGCAGCCTCGAGCACCCAGCCGGCAAAGCTGTTACCCAAAGACAACCTAAAAGGGCCTCCTCGACCCCAATATCATAGCAGTCCCTTGTTGTCCTTACTTACCCCAGAAGCCCTTTCTAACTACACATGCCACCATATCAGAACCGCAGACAGGCATGGGACTCTTCTTGTGCTGGTCCGGTGCCCGAAAACCTCAACCCTAAACCCTGAACCCCAAACCCCTAAACCCCCACCCCAAAACCCTAAACCTCTCGATCATATACTACGGTCGCTGATAAAAATCCTGCATTACCTTAAGGACCCGAAACTATGGGAATTATGGTCTATTCCTTCTTATGGGTAAGATTTAAATCTTCAACCGTACTACCCCAGAGCAACCTCATCTTATTGAGGCCTCAGCCTGTAACTCCCTGGCCTTGCTCAGGGAAGGCACGTTGCTCTTCTTCTTTTTCTTCTTGTCCCTGTTTAGGGCTTAGGGTCTAGGTGTTTAGGGTTTAGGTGGTTAGGGTTTAGGGTTTAGGGGTTTAGGGGTTTAGGGGTTTAGGGTTTAGGGTTTAGGGGTTTAGGGTAGCTTGCGAGGAGGACCGCTCTGTGGTTTACCACGACTGGAAGGGGAAGTCGGAGATTCAGGATTCGGGGCTCCACCCAGCAGCTTGAATGTGCAAAGCTCTACACTGCTTTCCTTTGCCCCCTCTAAGCCCATGCTCTGTCTTCCCAGGCTGTAGTAGTGGCAGTGTACATTATGGGTGGTCTACAGTCTGGGATCCTACTCTGATCTAGGGAAGCCTGCATAAACTCTAAACACGAAACCGTTGAACCGTGAACTCTTTTAGGGTTTAGGGTTTAGGGGGTCCAGACCTAACCAAGAAAAAGAAGCTGAATGCCCGAGCCCTGGAACAAATCAACCCTCCCACGTAGCTGCAACCTGAGTTCCGCGGGAGTATGGCCTGAAGGGGCTCTGGGCCAGGGTGAACGGTTTAGGGTTTAGGGTTTAGGGTTTAGGGTTGGATCTTTCAGGCAAAATGGGCCCAATGCCAAAGATAGGTCCCAAATACTGGGATCTGGTTGTGATGACCCCTAAGCAAGATACCCCTAATTTTGAAAACCTCCCAAATTCCTGAAGCCTCCTACATATATCTTGGGGCCCAGACGACTCCTGCACCACCGTGAACTCTTCCACAATTTGCTGCCTCTCAAAAGCCAGACATCAGGATTGGTTTAGGGGTTTAGGGTGTTCTGGGTGCAAAGGCAAACCTTCCTTCGAGTTCGGGTCTTTTGTGTTTCCGTAACATGCGTCGAAGCGCTTCAAAAATCCTCAACACATACCTACCGGCACAAATCCACCCACCCAGCGCCGTCCCACCTGGCAACATTGATCACGCGGCCGTTCCTGAGTTCAGAGACACAGAGAAAGCCTGATAAGCCTCGCCTCACATCTCATGCACGGCTCAAAAACACATCCCGCACATGCAGACATCCAACTGACTGCCTCAGTCCATCCAAGCACATACTGACATTCAGAAACGAACGGGCAATACGCAAGATCCGCGTTAAGACACGTGTGTGGGGGAACTCAACTCTCAAAGGGAGACTGCTGACCCTGTCGAACAGGCCACTTCACAGGACATGCCCAGCGTCACTTGCGTAGTTGTCAAAATCATGATCCCTTTTTGGATGCCCTGAATATTAGGTGCCGTATTAAACCCAAAAAATGACCATCATTTTGACAACCGTATTAATACTAAGGATCCAAAAAGTGACCATCATTGTGACAACTACCCACTTGCGGGAGAGGATCTCATCCTTTGCCTGTGAGTTCTTCGCTGCCTCGATGTCTGGGATTTCATCCTGGCAGCTGCCGGCATCCGGTTTAGGGTTTAGGGGTTTAGGGGTTTAGGGGTGTGGGGTTTCGGATTTTGAAGTGTAGGGTTTAGGGGTTTAGGGGTTAAGGGGTTAAGGGGTTTAGGGTTTAGGGTTGAAGCTTTAGGGCCGACATAAAGGATTCGTTGCATCTTCTAGGGAGGTTCACGGCCAACCGTAGCTGCCCTTGGCATGGCGGCTCAAAGCCATCCTAAAGTTGGGCTCCCCTAGATAACCGGGAGTACTTCAAGCACATGGCTTGGCTTCGCACTTCGGTACATTTAAGATGTGCAAAAGCTCTCAAAATTCCCGGGCCTGCTATTGTTGCGGGGCCTGCAGCGCTGAAAGGCTGGGAGCTTTGGTCAAATGCCAGAGGCACAAAGCACCGAAGTCCGACACTTAGAGGCCCTACCTAATGTAAGACCGTGGCCAAAAGTCATGCAGCCTTCCCCCCCTCATGAACCGTGCATCCCCCAATCCGCTGCTTCTGGCAATCCAAATCACGAGCCCGACAACACAACTCTGACCTCATCCACGACACAACCCCGTCACCACATCAACAAGGAATTCCTGTATCTGGAAATCACCAGAACGGTCGCTACGTGCATTGTGTTAAACCCGAAATGCATGATAACTTCTATTGGTAAACATATGACCTGATATGCTACAATGAAATTGTCGAGCATGGTAAAAATGCAGTCAAGATGCAACAAACTGGTCACTACTTTGCATGTTCATGTGGGTTGATCTCTGCTAGTGCGACCTAGGAGGACGAACATTGTAAACGACCACCTAAGCCTCTGGCGCGCATGCCTGGCCCATCCCAACATATGGAAATCACCACTCCGTGAAATTACGATATCTTTTGCTCACCCGAACAACACGACCCAACAAAACGTATCAAACGGCATGACAAATAAAACCAAAACGAATCAGGTTGGAGAAGCTTCGAGCTGCTGTGGAAGCATTGAAGCAAATATATTGTGAAGACGATAGACATGTGTGCTACTAAATGACCGAACACACGTTTGCCAAGTTGATACTTGGAAATGTATGGGACTGTTGCGCCAGTTCTACACGGAACTTGACCGTACAGATGTTTGAGTTTTCTCTGCTTTGTTGCAGTACCATGTCGAAAGACAGGTTCTTGGTGTAGCAAGCCGAAGAAGCGTCCATAAGAGCGCAAAAAGCATGATACACATATTGAGTTTGGTGATTTTCTTGGTTGTCGTGATGCAGAGGATGACCGGGCACCACGCATTCGCCATCGCAACATATAACCGGGCGCTGCCGCACCTGCTGTCCGGAGGATCAAAACATGCAGCCAATATTCACGCAGCTGAGCGCAAAGCCGGGATTTGCGAGCAGTGCCAGCCAGATTTGTTCAAGCAAACACCGAAACCGCACTCATATGGCTTTTGTTTGGGAGTGATAGCATGTGTTTGCAGCACTCACATCTGAACGATGCCGTGGTCCTCCATGTCAATCATCGCACTGTCGTGTGTCGGCTGCCTCCGAGGGTTTCACACAGTTCACATTGGAAAAGCCACAATGCTCGCAGGCTAAAGATTCGGCAGCCAGTGTAAACAAACAAACCGAGGCATGGACACGACTTCCTTTCAATCAACACTGGAAGTCCTGCTTGTGGTTTCTCTCAAACTGAGGTGCGAGCCGGGGGTGTTTGCCGAATAAAAGCATCGAGGCTCTCTAATCCATCACGACAAGCTTCCCGAAGGCCGCTCTTGTCTGTCGTCTTCCTGCAATCTCCGCAGGATCCAGCGGTGAATGCGTTCGTGGACTCGTGGACTGTAAGAACAGCTAAACACCTCAGCAAACTGCCTTCGACCCGAGGCCACGAGCATGAGACGGAAAACAAGTGCCGACCGTCATTTGGTTGCATTCAAGGCGTCCAACAGCCACATGCAAGGCGCAATGCAACGGGTTGGACGTCGAGGGGACAGTGGGCGGCATCGACCTGGAGCTGTGTCACGGCGGCAAAACAATCTTGTCGAATTGAAGCTGCCACCTGTATGCAAAGAGTGCTACACACCTCACCGACTTAACCAAGATCAGTGAATTTAGCGAACAGTGGCCACATCAGGGATCACGCAATGTGACAGTGCAGCTGCACAACTTGCGGCAATACAGCACCAGAAATGCTGGACATCGGAACACACGGTTACACAGCAAGCCCTTCTAATGCATAGCTCCTGCATGGTGTGACGACATGCCACATGAAGCGGTTGAACACACAACTGCACAACATTATCATTAACCTGGGAAGCGTGGGAAAGATCGCAGCTTGCATCATTGATAACCGTGTGAAAATATGCCTCGAATGGCATTAGCAGATATCGCCAAGCCCGTGCGATGACCGCTAAGGAACGGCCTATACTCAACATCATTCAGTTCAAAGTGTCGAAACAAACGCATCTACCACACCAAAGTAAAACAGCATAGAATGCTTCATCCCGATGCAATCGAGTGAACACCAGAGCCGTCGCATCGAGCTCAAGGTGTATGTTCATGAAGCCGACTTGGCCAGCTTGTACGTGTCATTCTCGCGCCGAGGACGACGGAACGGCGGCTCTGTCAAGAGTCACATGCAAGTGTTCTAGCAACACCGAGGCATACAGTCAGGTCTGGCACGATTGATGGCCAGGGTTTGTTGGAGAAGTCCTTCGATAGTTGGAAAGCAGATTTGGGAGTCTGATTACATTGCATGGATGGCATGCATACCCCAACCTGTACGAGAACTTGCACACATCTTGGATCATCTTAGATTCGGAAGCCGTTGTTGAAGGCAGATGCATCGATTCTGTGAATGCTTGCGAACGTATGCATGTATGTGTCGGCACGTGTACATAAAAATACATCATCCAAGTATACACTATAGAGCTGAAGAATACATAATATGTAATGTGAACAAATGTGTACATATGTTTATATATACATAAAGAGAAAAATCATGCAATTTATATGTATACAAACATGTATACAAAATGATTTGCACTCATTCATTTGCTCAGCTTGTTGTTTGTGTACTTATCTTATGACTCATCTATTCGGCTAACTAGCTATTTGATCGAAAATCTGCTGATACAGTGTATACATGTTTGCTTTATTTATATCTTTACCTATTTGTGTATCTGTGTGCTTGATTATTCTTGGTTACCAATTTGTTTTTATGCTGAACTTGTAGGAACAGAAGTATACAAACACAAACGGTTATGTATATTAACAAACATACATACATACGTACATACTCATATCTTTATATACATATACAAGCAAGTATATACTTATGGAAACTTTTTTTTTGGATGTCGTTGACTGCCTCGGAAAATATGGTCATTTATGGCTTCTAAGAGTTGGTAGCTTGCATTGTCTGGGGACATTGTCGAGGCTCTGCTCAGTTTCGACTTCTTTGTTCCGACACGCCTGTTTTCTAGGGGGCTGCCGTGAGAAGTGTTCTCGTTCTGTTTTTTGAAGGTTCTTAAATTATTCAGCCTTTTGTTTTTGGGTCTGCCTCCATAAATATGTTCATCCTTGGTTTCTGCGTTTCGGTCTTCTTCGTTTTGTCGGGCGGAGCATATAGTTGTGGTCTGTGAGGAATACAAAATTCAGAACGCCATAAAACTGAAATACAAACCCCTTTGACATGTATTGCGTGCTTTCCTTCCGCAAGCACATGTCTCTCTTGCGCGCACGTAAAATATACATAAACATCTAACCAGATCCGTAAATACAAGTCTTTTTGTTGTTTTTGTACGTATGTGTACGTGGGTAAGTAAGTAAGCAAATAAGTATGCGTGCTTATATGTATGTTCATATATATGTGTACACATCACAACTCAATATACATCTACACATATATATATATATATAAATGTATACACATGTAGAGATATATACATATACATATGTATTTGAGAATATGTGTGTATATATACATACATACGCATTCATTGTCTGAGAAATTTCTGTTTGTCTTTCATCTTTCTATATGATTGTGAACCTGATGAATTGCGCAAACATACAGAAGAAAAATATGTCAAATAACTCAAGGTGCGAGTAGATTGCTTATAGCGAACATAGAAAATATGTAAATACAAATTTGTCAATAAGTATAGGAATATGTAACTATGCGTGACATATGAAAAATCGAAAACAACAAAAGCACTTGTACAAACATGGATTTGCCGAAATATCACAATCTGTAAGCTCCATACTTCTAATTATGTAAATACAACTATATACACGAAAAGGGTTTTTTAGAAGTCGGTGAGCATATAAATGTGTACGTTTACAAACACATAAACGTACAAAAGTGTACACAAACATCAGCACAGAATATGAAGGATCTATAGATATAGACATAGGGTAACACTGCAGAATACATCTATATGAATGCACAAATGTGTAAGTATATACAAATACCAATGTAGCCATACACAGCCATACACATAAACAAAATTTGTGTGTGTAGCATATATATATATATATGCTACCCCCCCCCCATTGACCTACCTTTGTTGGGGGTCTCAGGAGCAATGAGTGGCAATGATGCATGGACAAGGGAGGGCCTATTTTTGTCGCCATTATTTTTTTGCACCTGTGGCTTTTTTTCGCGTGTTTGTTATAGATAGTACTAGTACTGGTAATAGTAAAGAGTAATAGAGTAATACAATCATAGACTAATAGACGAATAGACGAATAGACTAATAGACAGAATAAACTAGTAGACTAATAGACTAATAGACTAATAGACTAATAGACTAATAGACGAATAGACGAATAGACTAGTAGACTAATAGATTAATAGACTAATAGACTAATAGACTAAACAAACTAAACAGACTAAAAGACGAAAAGACTAATAGAGTAACAAAGCAATAAAGCAATAGAGCAATAGAGCAATAGCAATAGAGTAATAAAGAAAGAGTAATAGTACAAGAAACAGTGCGCGCGAAGCGCGTGACCCGCAG